CACACACACACACACGCACACACACACACACACACACACACACACACACACACACACACACACACACACACACACACACACACACACCCCTACCATGTGCCCAAACTTGACTAACTCCTCTAAGATATCACTTCCTCCAGAAAGACTTCACTGATCAGACCAGGCTGCATTTCCCAGTCGTGTTCTTCCCTACCACCCTGACTCAGCCTATCATTCATCATAATAATTAGTTTACTTGTTTCACGGTCTGTCTTTCCACCAGACTGTAAACTCTTGAGGGCCAGGACCATGTCATGTTACTGGCTTGAGTCTCCCAGACCCTGTGAACTGCCTGGTTCACAGAGTGCACAGTAAATGTTTGTGGAATAAACAAACAGAAGAATTCCCATCCTTGATCTTTATTCCCCTCCTCTATTTTAGAATATAGACTAAAATTAGGAATTCTTACATTAGAGCTGTTTTGGAGGGAATGAGATACAGTAGAAAGAACTAAGAGAATTGGATTCTATTCTGGAAAAGCAGGCTGGTCACTTCACTTCTCTAGGTCTGGAGTCCCCTGTGAAATAGGAACTTAGCTGATCATCAGAGCTCCCACAAGTACAAATCCTGGGCTCCAACCCAGAAAGTTCCAATACAGTGTGTCTGGAGTGGCACCCAGGGATCTGTACTTTTACAAGAGTGCCCTAAGTCATCTTGATACTCAACTAGGTTTGGGAAGCCCTGGGTTTTTAAAGTCAGCTACCAGCTACGAAATGCTAAGTCTCATGTAATCCCACACAGAAATGTCAGAACACTATTTTAACTATTTTCTCCTTGTAGGCTACTGAAAGCATTAAAATGCTGGTGACATTGTGTCAATCTGATACTGAAGAAATCAGAAATGTGGCCTCAGAAACTCTCTTATCTCTTGGTGAGTTGTTTTTTTTTTTTTACATGATTGTTTATTTCTGACACCCTCAAAGGGAATGGTAAGGAAAAGTTTCATGTACCTTGTTTTAGCAATTTTTCCCCTATAGGCTATCGGCTCACACTTACACACACACACACACACACACACACATACATGTACAGTATGACTGATCAATTTCCATCTCACCCCAGTTCCTCGTTCTAACTACCTGGATGTTGAGGTTGCTCTCTGGAGCCTTTCTAGATGGTTTCATAGTCTGGGCACTATTTGGAATCAAGAACATAGAAATCAAACTATCAAGCAGAGGTCAGAGTCAGGAATCCAAGTTGGATTGCCAGGTTGGGGTTGGCACTACCTGGAGGACAGTGATGTGTTCCCCAGCATGCCATAATCCCCCACGTACCACAGCCTCCCCCAGACTCTCAGGTTAACCTCTGATTGCCCTGCGGGCCTATTGCCCCTGAGCACCGACACCAAAGAAAAGAAATGAAGTATTTATTTTTTTCTGGAATATCCAAATAACCCTTCTCCTTCACTTCACTCTAAGTATATAAATACTATACCCCTCAAAGTCCTCGAATATAATCCGCTCAGTAATACTAGTCGGGAAAAAGCCGCTGCCCTAGTGTGACTCTAGTAGCAGCTTAAGGATGTAAGGAAGACTCTCATGGCACTTATGGTCACCGTGGCAACCACACTCATTGTCTGGTGCTCTTTCTTAGGGTTTAATAAGGCTTCATTCTGCTATTGATATATCATGCAATGCACAGAAATCTTAGCCAACATATGTGTGCTTAAAGGATAAAACAGTTATTCCTCACGGCTTGCTTTAGGCATAGAAATTATTTAATTCCCTAAAAATGTGCCCAGGGTATTATTAGTTTGAACTTCTTTTATCCTTTAGTGTTCTGAGATAACAATGAAGGAAGGAATAGCCAGCAACGCTGCTCTTCCCACTGTAACCTGAGGAGGCTCATCCCTCTAGATGATCCAGATCCAGTTCAGCTGCACAGACAACCGTATCTCCAGGGTTGGTCATCACACCTGCTTCACCTTAACTCGTTACAGATGTGGCTCCCCAAAGCCCCCATAGCCCACCACACCACCGTTCCATGATTCTCAACACTAGATGCCCATTGGAATCACCAGGGAACCTTTAAAATACACCCGTACCTGGGCTTCACTTCTGATGACTCTGCTCTTGTCGGTCTGAGCTGGGCCTTAGCACTGGGATTATTAAAAGCCTCTCAGGTTGAGAACCTCTGAACTCAATGTTATGAATTTCCTTTGACCCTAAGACACAAATACTGGTGTATTTTTATCTCACACAGACGACTGAATTAATGTAGTGAAAATAGTATTTTTGATGGGAATTGGTAAAAGATACTCTTATGATAAAGGGCTGAGGGTTGTCACAGGGCATTCGAGGGGCTCCGAGCAGCCACTGTTTACCAACCAGTATGGAATTATTTCAACATTTGAACCCAGAGCTGTCCAGTAGATCCCTCTGTGATGATGGGGCTGTTCTATATGCACTGTCCCAGACGGCAGGAAGTATTCACATGTGGCAGCTGAGCAGTTCAACCTGGCTATTATGACTGAGGAATTAAAGTTTAATTTTGAGTAGTTACCATTTAAATGTAAACAGCCACCTGAGGCTGGTGGCCTCTCTATTGGACAGAGCAGTTTTCACCGTGGCTCTGGCCGTTCCAGTGTGTCCTGGCTGGACCTCAGTCTTGTTTGGAACCACACTGCCTGACACCCCAAAGCTCAAGCTCTTTCTCCTCCAACACCCTGCCTACTTTACAGGGCTGTTAAACGGACTAGCAGAGGAGCCAGCGCAGATCCAAGCCCCTGAAAACTGAATCTTAGTAACAGTGAGATGCCCTGAAACCCCAGCCCGGGTTGTGTCACTGTAAAGAATATTGGGTAACACGTGCCAGGCACTGTTTTGAGGGATCTACATGGATTAGCTCATTTAATCCTCCTGAGACTCTATGAGGGACAGTTAATCCCAATTTACAGAGGGGCACAGTGAGGCATGCTAGGGTTGCATAACTCACCCACGACACCCAGACCCAGTCAAGCACTGCAATGGAATCCTGACCCTCTAGGGCACCTGGATGCTGTAGGTTACCGGAGGAAGAACTGAAGACCTCTAAATTGGAATCTCCTTGTGAGCAAACTAGGAACTAGCCTGGTATTATTGGGTTTTTAAGTAGCATTCATTAGCCTAGGCATCCACAGGGGTGTGTGTGAGCGGGCAGGGAGTATGGTATAAATGTGCTTAATTTAAGGGCCCTCTGTCTCTCCTCCCACTATCATCAGCCGGAAAGGCATTGCTGTTCATGTTTTATATTCAGGGTTTTGCATAAATATTTTGTTTCAAATAAAGGGTCCTACTCCAAAGTAAGAAAAAGTTGGAAACTATTGAATTAGGGAAAAAATAACGTTTGCCTCAGAAAAGTCAAGGCATGCAGAAACAATCAACAAAAGAATCTAAAAATTGATGGCTTTTGCTTATAGAAGAGTTCACTACAAAGTTCTTTTAAATACACGCAAATCTCTACTTTTGTATCTAATGTATTACTGAAAAAGTTAAATGTACTGAAAAAGATAACAACCAAAAACAGACTTTTGGTTTATTGAAAGGCCTTTATATCCAATAAATTATACAGATATAGAGGCAATATATTATAAAATCCATGATTACACTCCTTTTCTAAAACCCACTAATATCAGTATATTTCCAGCATTTCAAGGAATCTTTTCTTCTGTTTTACTTCACAGTGAACTTCTGATTGAGCACAATCAATTCTTTGCATCTTTGTCTCATTTGTATTAAATGTGTGAAAGCCTGTTTCTTATCACTAGTTATCTGTACTTCATTTTCCCATTTTCTAATCACTTTTTCTTAAATAGGAAAGATGGAGTAAAATATTCAAATAATTTGCAAATACATGTTGGCTGTTCAAGATGGTACTACTGATAGAACCAGCCTAGTTGTTGGCTGGTAGACAGCATCACTACATGTGTACAGGGCAAAGAATAAATTTTTAGCAGAAGTTTGAAGGCCTAAACTTGATTTTATGACAGATCATTTGGATGGAACAATATCTAATGTATAAAAGTGAAAGTTATGTAAAAGTTCAATGCACTGAAATCAATGACTAGCCATACTGAAATCACTAATGCACTGAAAATATAATCCATATAATTTCTCAGGAATAAATCTATTATGTGAAGTTATTGACATCAAATGCCCATAGGACGTCTACTGTGTTTCACATTCTTTTAGTCTCTGGCATTAGCTCAAAAGTTCTTGGTTGTTCTAAACATTACCTAGAAGACAACATAATTAAGAATAGCCAAAGATGAGTTTTCCTCACCTAAAGTCAACCTTAGCAAAATATAGCGACCCCTACCTAAACAACTGGTATTATTATTCTGAGTGATGAATAAAAAAGTTAAGTTCAAACTGGTATTCATTTTTGATGCTCTATATGCAGGAGAAGATGGGCGGCTGGCATATGAACAGTTGGACAAATTTCCTCGAGACTGTGTTAAAGTTGGAGGTCGTCATGCAAGTGAAGTTGCCACGGCCTTTTAATTACAAGTTAACTCTGCCTAACAGCTGTCTTAATAAATGGCCCTGTTAATCAAGGTGGTGCTGTGACTTAGCTCGAAGTTGTTGAGGTTGTCTGGAAATTTAACATGTTATGGGAGGAATTCAAAGTCCCCTTTCACAGTACTTATCTGCTTTTCCTTCAGCCAACAGAATAGGGCTATGTATATTTCAGTAGATTACATGGTTGATTGTGTCTGACAATACTTAGTAAAAGAGTCTGTCTTATCTAGTATGTATGGGATTTTAAAACAGCCGTCTTTATACATTTTTGGAAGTTCTTCTATAAGCTTGAAATAGTCACATGATACTTTGCTAAATATCATATGCCTTGCAGTTTTTCCTCTGTTGTGTTCTCAGGGTTCAGTGGCCCCCTTAGCTACCTAATTTTACCTTAAGTGCAAAGCAAAAAAAAAAAGATTTCTTCAAGTAAAAGTTTGCCTGCAGAACCTGGTACAGGGACATATTGTAAGGGTTTATTTCTTTTTAATTTCATTTTTTCAAGCCTCCACTATTTCTCTTGTTTCTTTTCGTCTATCGTGAAAATTCCAAAGGCATGTTTCCATTATGGTAAAAAAAGATGGGTAGATCACTAAAAACTACCTTATTAAGATTATACCCATACTCATTTTAAAAAAGATACTCAAAACTTAAGCTTTTTTTTTTTTTAAACAAGAGCCATTTTATAATGATACTTTTACAATAGAGGTATTTTGCTGCTAAGACAGATCAAACCCAGAAGTTTTCAGACAGCTGTGATTAATTCAGAAAGTTATGATGCTCCTTGAAGTAAAACATGGAAGTTGGAGGAATCCTAACGGGGTGGAAGCAGAGGGTCGTTAACAGTGGTCTTTTCTTCTATACAAATTACCATAAGGTTAGGAAGAAGAATGCCCTGAATGATGGCTACTGCCCCCAGAGAAGTCATTCATCACTGGATAGGATCCTTTGGCCAAATAGTTAAACCAACAGCTCCCATATTGCTTCCACATCAGGATAGCAAGTCCTTTAAATAAAGTGCAAGTCCATTCAGTAGCTCTTATTAAATAACTTTTCTTCCTCTTAAGAGTATACAAGGTGGGATATGCCAAGATATCAAAATAATATGTGTGAGTGTAATTTGAACTGTGGAATATCAACTGTTCTCTGAATGTGCTTATATAAAATATCATTTAGATGTCATTTTAAATATTTACATTTTAGCAAGACCTTTGAAAACAACTCTTATTTCATTTTAAAGTGAAAATTGTTTGTCAGGCTTCCTGGCAAATAAGTTCTTTCAACTGTGAAGTTATAATGTATATATATATACTTGTAAATTTATAAATATTATATATATGCATATATCTTTCATTTTAAAGGTACATTGTACAGTCTATAGTTAGTAGGTATAGTCTACAGTCTCTGTTAAATGGTTGAAATGATTTTTATAGAAAGTCAAATCACAAATGTTACAGAGTTGTTTGCTTTGTTGTTTGGGTTTTTTTTTTATTTTTTGAATATTGCATGAGTACTTCCATATCTTTTGTATTCACTTCTGCATTTTATTTTTGGTTGAAGGGGGTGCTTTTAGTTTTGTGGCATTTGTATTCGTCACTCTTTCAATCATGTAAGTTAAAATAAAAATTATTTTTGAATTACTAGTCTCGTGTTCAGAGTCTGGTGTATTTTTTTCACATGCCCTTCTTGAGTTGGTATTTACACAACACACTACACCTCATTCTCAACTTGAGTTTATTCTTATCTTGAAATTCCTTTATCCATACATGAGGATATTTACTTCTCAGATTTGTTGTAATGCTAACTGGAGAAAAAAGAGCTGCATTTCATCATATCCCTTCGTCTGGAACATATTCCTGTGCCACCTCATTTTGTCTAAGTTGCTATTGGTATTTTTATGTCTGCGGTAGGTTAGTTACGTTTCTCGGCCTTAAAGAAGTGGCCTTCTGTAAGAGGCTCCTATGCGTCCCAGCAGTGCCCTCCTCTCTTGTCACCCAAGCTGTATGCTCTGGGGCTTCCCCCTAAGAGGGCTGCGTGGGTCCTTCTTTTGTGGCAGGCTGACTATGTGGGCTGTCTGGTAGGCTTGGTTGGCCCCTAGTCTGGTGGGTTGCCAGGCCCTGCCTTGTACAGATGCTGCTGGCTGCTGTTTAGTGGGGCCTGGTCACGAGGTAGCTGGTGGTGGAATCCTTGGGGGCCCTGAGGCCAGTGCTGGCTCACTGGTGGGTGGAGTCAGGGTCCCGAAGAGTCTGGGGTTGTTGCCCACCACGGGCAGGTGAAGCCAGATCCTGGGGTTAGTGCTGGACTACTGGCAGGCAGAGCCAGGTCCTGGAGTCTGGCTGCAGGGCCCAGGGATCCCAGAACTCCTTTCACATCGTTGGGGAGTTGGGGATGGCGGTTCCTGATACAGTTGGGTGTGGGGTCCAGGGTGTCCAGGAGGCTGCGTTGGCCTGCTAGTGGGCAGGATCAGGGCCCAGCTGGTCCCAGGGTAGGGTATGGCCTGTGGGATGGTGGTTTCCTCGCTTCTGGTGTCTGCACCCTGGTGGGTAAAGCTGCTCTGGAGACTTAAGGCGGGCTTCCTGGAGGGAGGGGCCAGTGGCCGGCCACTGGTGGGTGGAGCTGGGTCTTGGCCCTCAGGTGGGCAAGGCCGTGTCTAGAGGTGTGTCCAGAGGCAGCTGTGGGCTCTTTAGTCTTCAGGAAGCCTGTCTGCTGATGGGCGGTTCATTTTAAAGTGAAAATTGTTTGTCAGGCTTCCTGGCAAATAAGTTCTTTCAACTGTGAAGTTATAATGTATATATATATACTTGTAAATTTATAAATATTATATATATGCATATATCTTTCATTTTAAAGGTACATTGTACAGTCTATAGTTAGTAGGTATAGTCTACAGTCTCTGTTAAATGGTTGAAATGATTTTTATAGAAAGTCAAATCACAAATGTTACAGAGTTGTTTGCTTTGTTGTTTGGGTTTTTTTTTTATTTTTTGAATATTGCATGAGTACTTCCATATCTTTTGTATTCACTTCTGCATTTTATTTTTGGTTGAAGGGGGTGCTTTTAGTTTTGTGGCATTTGTATTCGTCACTCTTTCAATCATGTAAGTTAAAATAAAAATTATTTTTGAATTACTAGTCTCGTGTTCAGAGTCTGGTGTATTTTTTTCACATGCCCTTCTTGAGTTGGTATTTACACAACACACTACACCTCATTCTCAACTTGAGTTTATTCTTATCTTGAAATTCCTTTATCCATACATGAGGATATTTACTTCTCAGATTTGTTGTAATGCTAACTGGAGAAAAAAGAGCTGCATTTCATCATATCCCTTCGTCTGGAACATATTCCTGTGCCACCTCATTTTGTCTAAGTTGCTATTGGTATTTTTATGTCTGCGGTAGGTTAGTTACGTTTCTCGGCCTTAAAGAAGTGGCCTTCTGTAAGAGGCTCCTATGCGTCCCAGCAGTGCCCTCCTCTCTTGTCACCCAAGCTGTATGCTCTGGGGCTTCCCCCTAAGAGGGCTGCGTGGGTCCTTCTTTTGTGGCAGGCTGACTATGTGGGCTGTCTGGTAGGCTTGGTTGGCCCCTAGTCTGGTGGGTTGCCAGGCCCTGCCTTGTACAGATGCTGCTGGCTGCTGTTTAGTGGGGCCTGGTCACGAGGTAGCTGGTGGTGGAATCCTTGGGGGCCCTGAGGCCAGTGCTGGCTCACTGGTGGGTGGAGTCAGGGTCCCGAAGAGTCTGGGGTTGTTGCCCACCACGGGCAGGTGAAGCCAGATCCTGGGGTTAGTGCTGGACTACTGGCAGGCAGAGCCAGGTCCTGGAGTCTGGCTGCAGGGCCCAGGGATCCCAGAACTCCTTTCACATCGTTGGGGAGTTGGGGATGGCGGTTCCTGATACAGTTGGGTGTGGGGTCCAGGGTGTCCAGGAGGCTGCGTTGGCCTGCTAGTGGGCAGGATCAGGGCCCAGCTGGTCCCAGGGTAGGGTATGGCCTGTGGGATGGTGGTTTCCTCGCTTCTGGTGTCTGCACCCTGGTGGGTAAAGCTGCTCTGGAGACTTAAGGCGGGCTTCCTGGAGGGAGGGGCCAGTGGCCGGCCACTGGTGGGTGGAGCTGGGTCTTGGCCCTCAGGTGGGCAAGGCCGTGTCTAGAGGTGTGTCCAGAGGCAGCTGTGGGCTCTTTAGTCTTCAGGAAGCCTGTCTGCTGATGGGCGG